CCTCCGCCTCCTGGGTTCAGGCAATTCTCCTGCCTCAGCCTCCTGAGTCGCTGGGATTACAAGCACATGCCACCATGCCCAGCTAATTTTTTGTATTTTTAGTAGAGATGGGGTTTCACCTTGTTGACCAGGATGGTCTCGATCTCTTGACCTCGTGATCCACCCGCCTCGGCCTCCCACAGTGCTGGGATTACAGACTTGAGCCACCGCGCCCGGCCCACTTTTCAAAGAATTTAACCTATTTTGCAGTTCAGTTCTGCTAATGAGTAATCAATTTTCCTCTCCCACTTCCCTTCTAAAAACCTGATTTGTGCACGGTGTTTGACACACATGGGGGGTCTTGGCAGTGTGCCTTCTCTGCTTCAGTCAAGAGATCTGCCATTTCATGCCCTTGAGAATACCTATCATTGGCCCTACAATAAAATCATTTATTTTTCACTCTGGTACATGCAGAAGCTTGTGTCAACTTCCATCACACCCTCACCTGCAGCCTTGGAGCAGCCCCTCACGCAGAGGTCCAAGCCCAGTGTGAGCAGGAGGCTGCTGGTGCTGTCCCAGAGCCTGCAGGACTGTGCCTGGTGAGCCCAAAGCAATTTGCAGTGTCAGCCTGCCAGCAACTGGCAGAGGAAGTGACCCCTAAGCCTGCTGACAAAGTCCAAGAGTAGTTCACGTATGTAATTGGGAGAGTGTGATTGGTGACAGAGACACCTGTGGAAAAGCATTTGCCAGGCAGCCACTCTGTTTTTGAGACAGTCTCGCTCAGTCACCCAGGTTGGAGTGTGGTGGAGTGATTTCAGCCTCAGCCTCCGAGTAGCTGGGATTACAATTACAGGTGCCCACCACCATGCCCGGCTTTTTTTTTTTTGTATTTTTAGTAGAGATGGGGTTTCACTGTGTTGACCGGGCTGGTCTGGAACTCCTGACCTTGTGATCCGCCCACCTAGAAGTGCTGGGATTACACGTGTGAGCCATTAACATAGTGCTAGAACTGGCTTCCAGTCCCTCCCTCAGAGCCCTAACCCCACAGGAGCCAGTGGCCTAGAGCTCTGTTAGGGTAGAGAGAAGTGCATTGTCAAATACAACCAACCAACAATCTTCCAGGCCTCATCCTTATCCACCTTCTACAGCTAGTGCTCGACTTACGTCCACGATTGGTTCCGACAGACCAGTCATAACACGATTTGGTCATAAGTTGAGTAGGCTATATGCACGTGGAGATGGTAGTGCTGCCGGAAGCTGGTCCGCACTGTCATGTGCCCAGCTGGGCAACGTTTGCGCTACCAGACGCGGAGCAGTCGTGGCTAGCGATTGTGGTCATAAAGTTGAATGGTTGTAAGTTACATAGGTCGTAAGTCGACCAATAACCTGTATATATACATCTTGCTCACCACCCTACCTTCACTTCCCACAGGCTCTCTACCCTCACTAAATCCAGGCCTCAGGCTCCCAGCCCTTTTTTTTTTTTTTTTTTAATTAAAGAGATTGGGTCTCACTATGTTGCCCAGGTTTGAGTGCAGTGGCTTTTCACAGGCACAATCCCACTACTGATCAGCACGGGAGTTTTGACCTGTTCCATTTCCGACCTGGGCCTGTTCACACCTCCTTAGGCAATCTGGTGATCCCCTGTATACAAGTACAAATGGCTGCTGTCCAGGTGGCAAGAAGCATGTTTGGGAAAGGGGGAATCCTGACTCTAAACAAGTCTCAATTTTCTCCGTAGTACCTTTACTAGACCAGGGATTGGAGGTTCCAAAGTTTAGTAAAGGTGGTAACCTTTACCCAGCCTGAGAAATGAGGGACATTCTACGGCAGTGCTTCCCATGTCGACTGAATTAGGGGTGAGTGGTCAGGGTTTTGTTTAAAAAGCAGATTCTGGCCGGCGACAGTGGCTCACGTCTGTGATCTCAACACTTTTAGGGAGGCCAAGGTGGGTGGATCCCCTGAGATCAGGAGTTTCCAACAAGCCTGGCCAATGATGAAACCCTGTCTCTACTAAAAATACCAAAAAAATGAGCTGGGCCTGGCAGCAGGCACTTGTAATCCCAGCTACTCAGGAGGCTGAGGCAGGGCAATTGCTTGAACCCAAGAGGCGGAGGTTGCAATGAGCCAAGTTTGCACCATGCACTCCAGCCTGGGCAACGAGCAAAACTCCATCTCAAAAAAAATAAAATGCAGATTCCAGCTGACAGGGTCAGGAGGTTGAGTCACTGCAGACAAGCTATGGAGCACAAGATTCCAAAGAACCGTAATGTTTCTAGACTCCTTTCTGAGATGAAGTTTTGCTCTTGTTGCCCACCCAGGCTGGAGTGCAATGGCACAATCTCAGCTTACTTCAACCTCCGCCTCCTGGGTTCAAGCGATTCTCCTGCCTCAGCCTCCAGAGTAGCTGGGATTACAGGCATATGCCACCACACCCAGCTTATTTTGTATTTTTAGTAGAGACTGGGTTTCTCCATGTTGGTCAGGCTGGTCTCAAACTCCCAACCTCAGATAATCCACCCACCTCAGACTCCAAAATGCTGGAATTGGTATTATAGGTATGAGACACCACATCCAGCTTTTTTTTTTTTTGGACAGTTTCACTTGTCACCCAGACTAGAGTGCAGTGGCAAGATCTCAGCTCACTGCAACCTCCACCTCCCAGGTCCAAGCTATTCTCCTGCCT